CAGAGAGGTAGAGAGAGGATGGCAGAGAGGATGGCAGAGAGGTAGAGAGAGGATGGCAGAGAGGATGGCAGATCATGTCCTGTAGCAGAGTCATTTGCCTTGTCACTGGACAAATGAAGGGTGTACATCTAAGAGAAAGAGCCACATTGTAAGGTGACTGACTACATCATTATCCCTAAGTGTGGCCTTTTTTCCTCATACTCAGCTCATTGCTTTATTACCACAGTTTTTTCTGTGTAGTAAGCAATCTCATTGGCTGTTTCAGTCGTCATTCATGAGCTAATTATAAGGCACTCCCTAGGATGTGTTCTCAAGCCTCAAAGGGACATAGCTAGGAATTCTGGGCAAAATGTTACCTTGCGCCCCCTGCCCAGTTTGACATATAATTTTACATATTCAGCCCTCCCCCCCGTAAAGTGCTACCCCCCTTGAATCTGCCAGAGTAACTGAGAAACCCGTGCTGGAAATCATCACCATACGCTGTCTGTCACTGCCAGGTTTGAACCAATGGGAGGAGGGTTAAGTTAAACTAGGTGGTGACTGGCGGCACATTTCTCCTATGGACTGCCATTGGAGGAGAGTCAGGCCCACCTTGGAAAGGCCTACTCTGTTTGGCACATTTGAAAAACACAGCCACACTCCGCATTGCTATTGTGTGCTGTGTGATGTCATGAAAGAAAACTACAAAAGCTTCACGTCTCTCCACATTAAAATAATTAGTTAAAAATCTGCTGAACACTCATTTTGCCAATTTTCTGCTCTGGCCAGGAGAGAGCCCGTGCTCTTAGCTTACATATCTAGCACTTCCTGCTTCGGAGACAGAATGTGTAATTAACTTAATGTGCAAATCTCATTACTGCAGGCCTTGCCCAGAGTTTGGGGGGGTGAAACAGTCTTCATCCCCAGAGGATAAGCCTCTCATCCCCCTTTCATCCACCCTACTGGTAACAAGACAACAAGGCAGCGGGTGTCGGCAAAGGACTCAAGTTCAGCCAATCAGAGCCTGGAGACATTTAATTCAAAGTAGCCAATCAGGATTGAGCTCTTCTCTTCAAAGACAGGAGAGCAGAGAAGTACAGGACTTAGATGAGACAGATAAATCCTTTACGTTTGTGTTTCTGCTGCGTCCATGACAGAGTGAGCTTGTGAATATGTGTGTCAGGATTACACCTAGAACACGTGTGCAGTATTATTTATTTCTGGGCAGCAGATCTCCTCCTCTTAAGATTCAGTAATGCATTTTTTGTCTTCTGTAGAGTACATGTCTATGCTCATCTCTACATGCCACTGTATTAAGTCCAATTGTCCATTAAAGAGGACAGTTAGGGCTTTAAGATGACATCATAAGTGTGTCATAATGTCCCCGTAACGTGATAAATATCCATTTTTTCCCCATAAGGGAAAACTCTATTTTATAAAGATCGGTGATTGCTATGAAAAAACTACAAATGCAAAAACTCTTGTATTTTGTTAGGTTACTTATGGTTATGGTTAGGGCAGGGT